GGGGGGGGGGAAGCAGAGAGCAAGGGTTATTAGAGCTGGATCTTGTGTGACTCACGGTGAAATGCGTAGAACCAAGAATGCTCCCTTGGCAGACTGGACATCAATAACTGCCTTCCACAGTCTAGCCAAGGACTGAGAGTACGTCTCCTCCCCCCACCTCCCCCTGTCTCCTTTGCCGTTCCCATGCCAAAACTGGGGTTAAGTGGCAAAAGAAAAACACAGGCGCCCTCCTATATAAAGTCCACAAAAAGCAAGGAGAAAGGCCTGGAATGGAAACCTAGTAATGCTCTCACCTGACCGGGAATGCTTGGGATGTTGCGGCTTGACTCGGGACTCAATGAAGACCTGCTGGCCCTGGTTCTTCACCATGTGCACGTCCTTGCAAATCTCCTGGAAAGTCATCTGGGGGTCAAGAAGGAAGAACGTTAAGGGGAACCCACAACGGGACACCCTCTCCTCCAAAAGACGAGGCATCCTCCGTAGCCTAGAACATGATTCCCTTTCTCTGGAAACACACCACAAGACCTGCTTCAATTTTTTTTCCTTCACCTCCCCCCTCCAAAATTCTCAAGGGTGTCTGTGCATGTGGGCCCATCAAACTAAGGAGGAGAGCTTAAACGCTTGGTTTCGTGATGCTCTGAAGGGGACTTGCAATGCAAACACCCCAATATTTTTAAACACTCACCGGCCGGATGGCTTGCGCCTCCTCGTTGGGGGCACCGTTGCTGTCGCTGGACGAAGCAATGCTGAGAAGCTGCTCATGGGAGGCGTTGCTGCCCAAGCTGCAGAGGCCCGTGGACCCATTGCTGTGCACAGGCTGTGAAGCAAACGAAGAAAGAGTGTTAGAGCAGAGAAAGGAGAAAGGCTGGAGACAGAGACCAAGCCCAGAAGCAGAAGGTGGCCCTTTACCTGTAACAACAGCCGGTGAATCTGTTCCGACAATTCTTGGATGTCCAGTTCCATGGGCTTCATCTTTTGTATTTTGGGGGCTGTGAAGACATCCTCATTCAGGGGGCCCCTAGAAAGAGACAAGCAGGAGGAAGAAAGAGGTTTAGGGCGGAGGTGCCGGCTCTTGAACTTCCCAATCAAGATTTCTCCCTTTTCACTATTCTTCAATGACCTCAGCCCTACCTTGTTGGCTAACCAATCCCAGCTTCCTATGCAATCCTTACTGAACGCTGATCCGTGCTTACCCCCGCTTATCACCAACAACGCCTTGCCCTATAAAAGGGACCTGTGGATCAGAACCACACTGCTTTCTGCTCTCTGCATACCCCAGGGATGGGCAAAGCACAGCCCATGACACCCCCCTCAATCAAAAGCAAGCGTGGGTCATCTGGATATCTCCTGTGTCCACTGCAGCTCCCAACCCCTATCTGGGGCCTGGTACAATCCACGGGGACCAACTGAGAAGACAAAAAGATGATCTCCTCGAAGTTCTCACCGTTGATCACGGTCCCTCACATAGCCGAGTGCAACAAGAAGCAGAAATGTCTTTCTGTTGGCTTGTGACACGTGGAAAGCTGCCTCTCCTGTTCCTTTCCTCAACTGCGTATTATCTCTTATTTTACTCCCTACAATACGAACTTCAGAGGAAAGAAGTTAGATTCCACAGAGAACAGGACCGCACCAGCCCGGGGACCCTTTCAAGGCAGAAACCGACAACCTGATTACTTACGTCCGCACTTTGTGCCTTCCCATTATGAACGAGACTTTGCGGCTCCATGGGTTAATGAAGCTGGACCAGCTGGTGTCGATGGTGACGTATTCACCGTTGCGAGTGCAGAAGCGGATGGGGGAATGGTCGAAAGGCTGGCCGCCATACTGCAAAACTGGGTAAGAAGGAAAGAGGAAAGGATGACCTCCCACATGGATCCAAGAGCTTAAACAGATTTAATCATTAAATGGGGTGCATATGGAGTTACATACACACACACAACCCCCAATTTTTGCCAAATCTAAAGCTACATAAGACGGTCATCTACAGATCTGAACACAAACACCCCACCGCCATGCTCTCTCCTGCATTGTACTTACTCTTCTTGTGAATGGCCAGCATCAGAGGCCGGTCCTCCGGGTGCAAGTACAAAAGGACGGGCGTGCCAACCAGGTCCTGGGGAAGGTAACCTAGCAGAGGAGCAGCTCTGTGAAAACGAGAGAACAGACGGGTATCAATGCAAAAAACAGGCCAACTGCAGAGCTGTTGCCCGACACTGGTAAGGTGGGACCATCCTTTTGGTGACTTGGCTTCAGTTGACAAGATGCAGGCCTGGCCAAATCCTTCCTGCAGAGCCTAGCACAGGAGGAAGGGCCTGCCCACCAAGAAGAGAGATGGGGAAGTCCCCCGTTCTCATGAAATTGTGGGATCCCCATTTCAGGCTGTAGGCCGATAACAGAACATGGCCATTGGGGTACGAGGCTTATCTCTAATCTTCTCCAGACAGATGATGATGCTGGAATCACCCACCAGGCCTTCTTCCTGATCCTCTCTCCACTTATCCCTCCCACACACACACACACTGTTTTTCTAGGCTGAATCCAAAATCCTTACCGCTCATCCACATCCTGAAACAAGCAGCTAGGGGTGTGTCTCGTGGTGAAGATTCTCTTATCAGGAGGGATTCTGGGAGCTGGGGATGGAAAGCACAGAGTCATTCAAATACTGACTTTCTGAAAAGCAATGGAGGAGGTTTTCCCCGACGGCTGACACAAAAGAATAAAATAAATAAATAATAAATAAATACTGAATTTCTGAAAACCAATGGAGGTGGTTTTCCCCGATGGCTGACACAAAATACTTCTCCTTTTACTTCCACAGATTTTTGTGTTGTCTTGCCTCCCAGATCCCCACATAAAAGTCTGGTGGATCTCCTGGCTTTTCTGAACAACTTCACAGAAAGAAAGGTGTGGGGTCTCTCCCCAGGAACCAGAGAGAGCGCTCAAGGGCTACCCTGTGATGTGCAGAAGCCGCCTCGCTTCTGGCATCTTGTGGTGAAACATGACAGTGCAGGATGCCATGCCAGCGCCAGAAACCACACTGAACGGATTGGTTTCTGAGCGGGTGTCTTTCGCTTTGTCAGTCCCACAACGGCAGGATCCACTTGTAGGAGCCGCTTTCTCCATGCACCCAACCCACCAAACCCCTCCTCTCTCCCTCACACATACGCGTGCACACACACAAACAGTGCCTTTCTTACCTTCATAGCCCGAGTGGATACGCTCAGCAATGATCAGGCAGCAGGGCCGTCCCTCAGTGCTGTCTGAATCACGGACTTTGGTCAGGTATGGGGTGAGCCGGAAGGGGTAGTAGCGCAGCTCACGCCCGCTCTCGTGGCCTCCGCTGAGAAACAAATGCCTGCAATAAGACCAGAGGCCAGAGGAGACCAGGACATCCAGGAGGGAGCAGAACAGCAGCAGCCGTGGGGCAGAAGGGGGAACCTGGGAGAACACTTCCCTCGCCTCCCTCTTCCCCTCCCTCCCTCCCACCCCACCTCCCTGCCCTGGAGAGTACCCACTGGCATCCAGGTAACAGGAAGGAGGGAGAGGCTGTTCTACCTTCTCACCAGCTAATTGGTGGGGGAGGGATTCCCTCTACCAGGGTGGACTCTGGGGCATCTTCTTTCTGCAGCCTTTTGCTAAGTTTATCCTCTCTGTAAAACTTTTTAAGTATCCAGTAATTGGCTAATGAGCCAGAGGACCTCAGGGCTCTTCTGGTCAAGGTTAAGACATTCGTACAGGGGGAAAGAGACCCCAAACTGGGGTTCTGTACTGTGGCCCAGGTTAGCATCCTGCTATAGAAGCACTGAGGCTTGATGAGGACAAAACTCACCTGATACGACAGAAGACGGATTTCTCTTGGGTGTAATCCATGGCAGCGGCAGCTACGGAAGGAGAGAAAGAGGGACAAAGAAAGATGCAACGGAAGGATTAGCAACGAAGAGATGTAAATCTGAATACGGCCCTCTCCTGATCACTCCTTTGCCCCACTTCACACTTCTCAGCTGCTTCAAAAACTGAATAGCATCCTATTTTTAAAAAATCCTGAGGCCAAGAAGCATGCCCTATCTCAAAGGTCTTCTGCACAGCTTCGGAAGTACAGGTCAAATGGAGGGCTGGTATTTTAAAACTGCGGTTGTCCCTGCAAGTGTGGCCCAACCCTGGCTGAAAGGCAGGTTTTCTGCTGTCCTCCAGAAACTCAGAGGATGCTACTGCCCCTATCGTTATTTATTCTACTCCTGCCTTGCTCTTCCTCCTAAGCGCTCAGCTCAACAAGCTAACCATCTACATAAACACAGAGAGTTACAGGCACAAACTGAAAGCATTCTAGAGTCACAGATTAGCAATATTTGCCTGCTCAAAGAAAGGTTATGGATGAGACACTCACTGGCAGATGTGCAGGTGCTCCAGGAAGGAAGGTGATATGGGGCTGTGGACCCGTAGAAGATGCTGACATCTTGTGGCGCCAGGAACTCTGCAAACTTGGCCCCCTTGAAGACATCCTTCTTACAGCGTAGGATGAAGGCAGCTTGGTCCGAGATGTAGACAATTTTCCCCGTGATGTAAGAGACAGCCACCGAAAATGTATCCTTCCAGAACAAAATACAGAGGCAAAGTTGGGAAAGAGAAGCTGTTTTCAGGAAGGAAACCTTTTCATCCCTATCTATAAAATAGTTAAGGCAACTGTTACTGTCATCATTCAGATGACAATTAGAACAACTACAGAAAAATCACGCTGGTTGTTCAGTGGTTTATAAGGTCACAGCAACCAAAAAAAGAAGGCTCTGGACCCCTCTACGCAGGGTTCTCCTGAAAGAAGCGAGGCAAATGGGTAGTTGCAGATAAGACTGCTAGCTGCTACTAAACACAAGGGCTACGTATAGCAAGGCTATGTCTGGTGGGAACAAAGGCAGGGAAGAAATGAAAGGGGAAATCCCATCATCCCCAGTGGCCTGCAATTATTTATTTCTTTTTGTTCTGCATATTTCTATTCCACTTTCAGGAATCAGCACCCAGCTGGCCTGGAGAGCCCCTCCTGAAAATGCGAGTCCAAGGTGGGTTAGAAATCCACACAAACGCATTCACGCAATCAGCACAACAAAACACAAGAAAAAAAAATACTCACAGGGTTTTTGAGGGTATACTCGGAGGTGATGTTTTCCAGCTCCTCAATGGTGTAAGAAGACATGTCTAGATGGCAGGGATAGTTGTCCTCAATGGTCCATTGCTGATAGTAATCCTGGCTTGCTAAAAAAAAAATCAAGAACAGGAAGAAGGGATCAACCGGAGTGCCCCAACCGACAGAAGATCATTCCCTCCTTTCAGCATTGGAACGGTGCTGTCCATCTTCAACTTCCAAGTACTGCACCAATGATGACACCCAATAAAGATGCCTTCATTATCAGGGCTTGGAAAACCATTTTTGCCTGTAGGGATAATAATCCCCAGGGAACCGTCACTTGGGGGACCAGCCCCATAAGATGCCTTCATTATCAGGGCTTGGAAAAACCATTTTTGCCTGGACAGTAACTCTCAGAATTCCCAAAGTGGGCCTGGAGGATTCAGGGAGATATAGCCCAACAGTTGAATTGAATACCAGGGAGAGATCTCTGATAGAATGAAGACAGACATTTGCCTGGACAATAACTCTCAGAATTCCCTGGAGGATTCAGGGAGATATAGCTCACCCCCAAATGATTTTCCATGTCCTACTTTGTGCACAGTCGCCTGTGGGTGGTGGTAAATCCACTCTAAGACCCACCACCGCCACATCCACACGCTTGGGAGATATAGCTCACCCCCAAATGATTTTCCATGTCCTACTTTGTGCATAGTCGCCCGGCGGGGGTGTGTGTGTGTAAATCCACTCTAAGACCCCCACCGGCGCCGCATCCACACGCTTAAGTCATCCCAGTGAGGCTGCTTAAGCCAAGTTCGTGCCGCCATCTATGTCCCCCAGACCACACATGGAGACTGAGAAGGGGTTTCTTGGTCATTTAAGAGAGAAAGGAAGGAGAAGCTGTAGATAAGAAAGCTATCCATTTCTACTTAAGCCTACCTTGGACCTGCTTCACACAGGACAGGGCGTACTGAAGGGTGGCCAGAGTCCCCGACTTGCCCTTGCTCTGCTTCTCAGAGGGCAGCCGGATCTTCATCTCCTTCAGGGCCTTCATCAGCTCCTTCTGGGTCTTCACTCGTGCAGACTGTTCGCTGCTGAAGTAGCACAAATATTTGAAAAATAATCATCATCCATCGGAAGCCATATCAGCTACTATGGCATGTTGTTGAGTTGTTCCCATAGAGGCTGAAAATTTATCTTTACAGTCCCCTCTCCCTCTTTCTTCCATTCAGACACAACTGAACCCCTTTCCCGAGTGACTGAAATAGACAGAGCCGATCCAACTCACAAAAAATCTTTTTTATTTATTTGTTTAAAATACTTTTACCCTGCCCTTCTCCTTAAAAAGGACCCAAGGCAGCTTGCATCATTAAAAGACTGTATTTCAAGCTAACAACACCAGAGTATACAACTACTAAAAAAGATCATATGAATACTATACTAAAAAAAAAACATACAGGTTGGCTAAATTAATTTTTAGTCGAGACTTTGTATGTGGCTTGACTAACAAGCCACATACAAAGTAACTTCTGATGGCGCTTGCATTTTCTACAAGCCATGGTGAAGCCCATGGTCCATGGGGACAGGCTCGCCACCACTTCTTGTCTGTTTTCTATTTACACACCTTTCCAAGACTGCTTAAACTGAGGGTAAACAGCATCCACAAATCGAAATGCATTTTAAAGGCATCCAATGCCACCCGCTCCTCATGCAGCAAGAATTCCAGTTGCCCCTTATCAAAGATTTACCAAGTGACATTCCCACATTCTGAAGAGATCCTGGTCAACACACAACACAGGCTTTTGCTTCTCGATACCTGCCCAGGCTTGCTGCGCTCCAGCTTACCTGCAGCCACTGGTCGATGGGTTGTCTTGCTCCGAGCTTGCACTGAGGAGACTGTAGGCGACAGAACTGCTGGGGGGAGAAGGGCTCTGGGAGTTGGAGCTGCAAAGAGAGGGAGGGGCACGGGGAGCTTGGTTAGGTCACGTGGCAAAGAGCTGAAAACCCCGTCTGCAAATGTCCGGTGTCTGCACACTAATACAGCAGATCCATCCAGGCAGACACAAAGGACCAAACCTGTTCACTGGCATTATTCAGCTCCCATCCCACCCAGAGGCCAGTGTGGCTCGCAACGAATTGCTGCAGGCAAACAGACAGTGAGACACTTGTCCACTAGGGAAAGGAGGCAACTGCCCTGAAGGGTTGTCTCAAACTTGATGCTCTCCAGATGGGTTGGACAAAACTATCACCACCATAGATAGCTGGCCGATGAGGACAGGAGATGCTGCCCCACCGTCTGCAGAGCACCAAGACTGGGAACGGCATCACAGAAGGAGGATGCCCTGGACTCTTGGCTAACTGTTCCTTCTTAACTAGGACTGGGCGGGAAAAAATGCACCGTGGTAGGGAGAGGCCCACTTCTTACGCCTGCAGTCCCTGGGCTTACCTCTTGTTGCTTTCGGTGGTTTCCAAAAGGGCAGAGTCTTTGCCATTGCCACTGCTGTGACAGCTGCTGTGGGAGTCGCCGTGCGACTCGTTGCCACTGGAGCCGTTGCTGTTGACATCCATGTCATCACTGGCTTGGCCTTGCACTTCACCCCCTCGCTGGGCTCTGGCTCTCCTGGGGGCTCCTGAACCGCTGCCTCCACTTGCCCCTCCACCCTCAAAAGGGTTCTGTCCAGGTCCACAGCTGGTGCTCATTGTTGGTTTTGGGGCATGGGTGCCTCTTGGAGGAAAACGGAGGGAATCACGAGGAAAACGGGACTTCGGCGGCGGCTGCTCAAGAAGCAGCAACTGGAAGAGTTGGCTCAAGAAAAACCTTGATCAGAGAAGAGGATGTCTCAAGTTATACCTACAAGGGAAAAGAAAAAGAGATCAAATCAACCGGTTTGGATTAAGTGCTGCATCAAGAATGCTGCCACGCAGCCTACCTGAGAGAAAGTGGGACAACACTCTGTATACAGACCCTGACATACGAGACTACTTTTAGAAAAGGTACACTGATCACCCATTGTGACAAATTCTCCATGTGGAACCCCTCAGAGGAACTCTTGGCCAAGTCACCGAACGGGCATCAAATATCCACTGCCGCAACTTGAAACCAAACACACTGGTAAGTAATGGGGCTGACCACTGATCACCAGTTCTACTTCCAGAAGCCTTCTCCCTGGACTCTTATATAAACCAGGCAGCCTAGCCCTCCAATGCACCAACACCCTATCCTTCGGGGGGGCGGGGGCTGTGGAGGAGAGGAGGATGTTCTAATCTAAAATATCCTCGGTCTAGTGATGGGTGCTTTACAAAGGGATGGCTGAAGGTGTTCCTAAGAGCCCTTCTGTTCACCTATCCCAGGTTCTCTCGCTGCCTGTACTTCGCAGCTGTGACTCATTCCTTTTCATCCGGATACTCTCCAACCTCTTTTGTTTCATTCTGTTCATCTGGCTCTCACCTTATCCCTCCCACAGAGCACACCCCCCAGCCTGGGACACATTAACCACACAGGCCAGCCTGGGGGAGACAGAAAGGGGACACAGCCCCAGGTCCCTGCTCCTCCTCTTTCACATCCCCAGAACACCTTTATCCCTCTGCTGCCTGGTGGGAAGAAAAGTTTAGGGGGCCAATAAGGAAATAAGGTCAAAAGGGAAGCACAAACAAGATGTGCCACAAACAGGGGAGGGGATGGGAAACCTTTGGTCAAGTGCAGAAAACCAGGAATTCACTATGAATGGTTTTCTACATAAGCCAAACAGAGAGTAAGCTGCTTTATCCTAATTAATCTTAACTTTAAATATTGCCTTTTAATGTAAGCCGCCCTCCACAATAAGGAAATAAGGTCAAAAGGGAAGCACAAACAAGATGTGCCACAAACAGGGGAGGGGATGGGAAACCTTTGGTCAAGTGCAGAAAACCAGGAATTCACTATGAATGGTTTTCTACATAAGCCAAACAGAGAGTAAGCTGCTTTATCCTAATTAATCTTAGCTTTAAATATTGTCTTTTAATGTAAGCCGCCCTCCGGTCCTTTTTAAAGGAGAAAAACAGGGTTAAAATGTTGCATTTAAAATAATAAAAGGCTTGAATGGAGAATGTGGGATGATACCATGGACGTAGCACAAGCTGGGTGTGGTCCTACGGGGAGATCCAAGTCCTAACACCTCCCTCATCATTACGATAGACAGCCTTGGAAGAGGCATTCAGGGACTGCAAGAGTTTTTCTGAGACTACACCTGTTTTGTTTTAACACACTGGGAGGGTTTGTTGCTGCTGATTTTGTATTTGTGACTCAAGCGCCATGTAGGTCGATGGCGATCTTTCCCCCATTCCAACCCTTCCAAGGGTTAGTGCAACTCTTGGATACACACTGGGCTTTTCTAACTCAAAAAGAAATCTGCCCACCCCAAATTGTGAACTGGTTGGGAAGACTATGCCAATATCCACTGTTTCTCCCTTTAGGGAGCCAAACGAGTCTGGGGATCATTTATTGCATTCCACTAGCATTTGCCTTCAGAAAGTGTAGAGGGAGGATTCTCTCTCTCTCTCTCTCTCTTACGGACACAGACACATTTAAGTGACATGTCACTGCAGAGAGCCAGCCAACACACTGCATTCTTGGCATTCTTCTGGCAACCAAACTTTCAGCCACCAGAAAGCAATTTTCCCCCTTCGGACAAACGGCTACTCCCTGCAACTAAATTATCGCTCCTTTCTTCTTCATGGGCAAAGACCACTTGTGTCTTTAACAGGTGTGCGACAGGAACCAATTCAACAGGTGTAGCTTTCCCTGGCACCTTGTGCTGGGAAAGTGGCACCTGTTGAACTTGCAGCCCCTCTTGTTGTTCGAGAGGCAGAGCCCTAAAGTAAAACGAAAATATATAAAACCCGAAACTCTAAGTATCTGAAAAGACAAGCTGAAGGAAAATGTGAAAAGCAAAACATTAAGAGCAATAAATGCAAAAGTTTTGAGAGATGTGTTCTGCTGCAAGCAACTGGCAAACACTCAACAAAACATTAAAACGGGGTTGACATAGCAACCACTGCCCAGTTCCCTCCCACTTCCACCTATCAACACAGCGAGAGAGGGATATTCAATTCAGCAAGCAGGATTAGATCCTCAACTGCATCTAAATTTTCATGTGTAAATTTAAGCCACAGAACAAAACCTATTCATAGCGCTTTATTTAAAAAGCTGCCCCTCCGTCTCCTTCTTACCCAAAATACACAAAGCCTCTACGTATTTCTCAGAAAGCCAGGCAGGTTATTACTTTCTTAGCTGTATTATTTTTACCTCTTCTAATTTTGGATGCCTGTTGTTTTTAATCTGACGAATGAAAAGGAAATATTGCACTGGCAGCTAGCAAGGAAAACAGACAGACCTCCCGTGTCCCTCCAAAGTGCTACCATCTACATAGGAATCATATATGAAAAAAGAGTTGTTCGTTCAGGTATCAGAGGAGAAGCCTGTGAAACCGCAGACAGACACGCGCTGAAGGATGAAAAAAGCGGGACTGAAAATGTAGTGGAAACGAACGCTAAACAACTCCAAAGCCCTTGATATTGTAAAGTCAATATTCAGGTGGCATGTCCCCCCCTTTTTTTTTTACTTCTGAAGTGCCACCAAAATATTACTAATATCATCATCACCATCAGCAGCATTACTATAATCACTATTAATATATCACAAGGGCATAAAAATAATAATAATAATAAAGAGAGAGGAACTCTGTTCCTGCCATATGGCCACTCCACGTATTGGCCATGTCAAGCCCCAGCTTCATCTTAGCAAAGACAACAGAAACCTGCAGTTCGTAACTGCATCCAAAGTTACAGAAACAGCATGTTTACTATAGCGAGACTAATTAGGAGATAAAAAAAAAAAAAACAAGAATGCCACCAAGAGTGAAGACTTTAAAATGCAAGACATCTTGCATAGGAAAAATAAGCAGCAATCATGCAAGAAACAAGGGAAGGGGTCCGTGAAAACCTCATGCGAGACCCCCTTACAAGACCTGCTTTCATGCTCTCTCCGAGCAGTCCTTAAGACTAAACAGGATTTTCCTCTAACCAGGACACCCAAACAGTGACACAGCAGCACTGCGAGAGAGACAGGCTGTCAGCCCCAAAACTGGTGGTCTCCTGAGGTGAGGAGCTGTAACTCCCCATCACTCAAGCTTTTTCCTCCATTACAGCGGGATACGAGAAGCCCTCCCCACTCCCAGTATGCTCCCCCAACAGGTCTTCCCCTCCTTCCTTTGCTTCCCAGGTGGAGGGAGCGCATGACACTCGAAACTGTCGGCTCACATTTTGCCCCTAGGTGCCTCTTCCTTTCCATCAGGCAGTGCACCCACATTGCCATCAGGCAGTGCAGCCGCCGAGAGGACTGAAAGAACGGCCACCTCCTCGACCCCTTCTCAGCACTCACACAACACCACGTCCCCTGCTCTCTGCAGCTCAGAGAGCCGCCCAGGTGCTTTTCCTGGGCAGACACACACACACGCACACGGGGCCGCCCTGCAGATCGAAAATCCTGCTCCACCCTCTTCCAAAAAGTGCCCAGACATTCCCTTTGGTGCAGGAAGAGGAGGGAAAGAGAGAGAGAGAGAAAGATAGGCATACTCCTCCTTCCGGCTGCCGCACATGCACGACGGCGTGTGTGGCAGAGAATCCGCCCCCAGAGCAGGCAGAACAAGCCGGATTACTCCCTTTTTCCAGAGAGAACATTCCGTCCCAGGCAGGCCCACGTGACGGTGACGCCAGCCGATGCCAGGGCCGGCGCTCCTGCGGAGGCTTGGAAGCCCTAGTCCGGACTTACCAGGTTGCAAGGGAAAAAAGAGCTGAAACCCCTGGGAAGAAACAGAGGAGTTCTCTATCCTGGGGTGGGGCATCAGGCTGCGCCAAGCCCTCCCGGTGGGTTACTCACCCGTGGAGTGAGAGAAAAGGTCCGGTCTCTCTGGGACGATCAGCCGACACACTCCTGGGATGAGGAGAACTGCCCTCCGGTGCCCCTTGTCCAGCCCGCTGCGGTGTCTCCGTTGCTGATCCAATGCATCCTCCCGCCGGAGAGAGCCCAGTCGATGCGGGTGCACTGTGGATGGCGGAGCCCGGTTAGTCTTCCCCCCTCCTGAGCAGCAGCACCAGCAGCAGCAGCAGCATCTGGCTCTGAACAGGCAGCGGGGCGGAGAAGCAGCCCATTGTATAAGCAGAAGGCGGAGCAGCCCTGGCCAGGCGCCCGCTGATGTGAGCAACCCCTGCTACACACACACACACACACACACATCCCCGCCTGCCCGCCCGCCCGCACGTGTACTGTGGTGCTCACACCAGGAGTCCAAGGAGGCCGCCATTGGCTGGCCAGCTCAGCCAATGAGGCGGCGAGATTCTGACTGCATAACAGGCCCCAGAGGCCGGTCATTCACCCAGAGGGTGGTGGTGGCGCATGGAAGACCAGTGTGCATGCCAGCAACAGCAGCCAGGGGATGGGTGCCCAAGCCCAGCAGGAAGAACAGCAGGCTGGGAAATTGGTGAACGCATTTGCAAAAGCCTGTGTATGTGGGGGAGGCGTACAGGATGTTGCGCCATTTAAACCATGCACACGGAAAAAGGAAACCAACCCACAGTATTTCCCACATCGAGTCGCCTGACCCACATTCAAATCCCGCTCTGCTTCCGGCCTCCACTCATGATGCCCCCCCCAGCTCCTCCCCTTAGTCCCCGAGGCTACTTCCTCCTTAATAGTGTGTACTCCCATGTGCCCTGCTGGTTCATGTGATGCCAATGTTTTGGGTACAACACCTACTAGCACACACTCATTGCAAAGTAAACACAAAAGAAACGGCGCGGCAGCAAAAGTGCTTG